TTTCACACTGGCTCCATTTCCATCTTGAGGAGTCCATTCCCGTGTTAAAGCACACTGAGCATTCATGAGAGCAGAGCTCTCTGCACAAAGTGCTGAGAATTGAACGCTAGCCAAGTTTTCTACTGTGGAGACCTTCCCACCTCTTAAAGGTCCCATCTCCCAATACCACCCCATTCAGGATCAAGTGTGCACCGCATGAACTTTAGGGCTCACATTTAAACCATAGGAGGCGTCCTGAGGCAGACCAACCACCTGGGCAGAGTCGGGGGTGTGGAAGTGGGTGTTCTGTTAGTGTGCTTGGGGTACAGCTACTCAGTGTATCTTCGTTTCTTTTCTGGTTGACGGAACAAACCAGCCGGGACAAGCAATCGAAGCAGGAAGGATCTGTTCTGGCTCACAGTTGGAGGGTCCAGTCCTTCATGGTGGGGAAGGCACAGCAGCCAGGGTGAGAGGTGACTGGTCACACTGCATTCAGACTGGGGAAGCAGAGAGCCCTTGGAGCTGGTTCTCCACTCACTTTCTCCTTTATAGTCAGTCTTGGCCACAGCCGGTGGCATGGTTGGTTGGTTTTCCCAATTAAGCTAATCTGAAAGATCACTCAGACGTGTCCTAGGTGACTCTAGGTCCCGTCAAGTTGACAGTATTAATCCTCACACATACATTGGTGGTATACCTGCTTTTGTAGCTTCCTGGTGACACAGTGCCAACGTTGTGGTCATGAGAGTGACTTTTGAGATGCTTTTGGGACGGAGCACTCTAAGCCAGAGCAAGGTTTGCCGTGTGTCATTTCTCGGCAAGAGGTGGAGTGGGCAGTAAGGAAGTGGAGTGTAGAAGTTTGACCTTTGGAGGAAAGCCTGAAGCAAGGATAGCCTGAGGAGGGGATGAAGCAAACACAGGTGTTTGCAGAGACAGAACAGAAGAGGTAGGAAGGGCAGACGGTGGGGAATTTGGCTGGACCTGATTCTGGGAAGGTGATAGAAGGGGATCCCTCATCCAGGTGGTAGTGTTTGGAGAGAGAAGTGATGGGTGAGTCTAAAGGTGTTAAAAGGGCAGGCTAATCTAGGGTTTTTTGTTTTGTTTTGTTTTGTTTTGTTTTGTTTTTCTTACAGAACTATGAGCCATCATGGATATGGCTCCATGGTAGAACACTTGCTTAGCATGCCAAAGGCCTTGAGTTCAATCCAAACAAAAAAATCCTGAGGGACAGAAATTCAAGAGCTAAAGAGCACAGAACCATTCAGCAAGCCTTGGACTTCAGCCTGCCCCCTACTACACACACACACACACACACACACACACACACACACACACACACACACACACACACACACAGAGTCCTAGACCCTCCCTCTCAGCAGTATCATTAAGCTGAGTCCCGTGGGTAGCTTTAGCCCTTGGGGGATATTGATCAATAGGACTTTTTTGGATAGCAGGTACTGGCTGGTTACCAGCTTCTACAGGGCCATTTCTTCCTATGTCCCTTGTTTGCCATTTTGAGAGTCCCTTGACTATGCTTATCACCTCACTTTAAGCCAGGGACACCTTGGTTCATGGAAGAATACCAAGGATGCAGACAAACTTTGCCTAGCAGGTTGGGTGAATTCTCTTTGGCAGCTGGTTCAGAGGAGAAGCTGCTGAGCCTTGGACTGGGTTGCAGGTTTCCCCTCAACAGATTGTCCTTGTAGCAACCAGTCTAAGAAACCCCGTCCCCCTGGAATATCCAGGGACACAGAACAATCCTCTGGGCTTGGCCCAGCAAGGAAAGGAAATAGGATGTTTAAGTCCTGGGTTGGGCACCTTGGAGAAAACCCTAAGACTAGCCAGGCTGCTCACAACTGTCCTGGTTCTGATTTGGAACAAAGATGCGCCAGTGTAGACCTGCATTGGGAAAGAGGCCAAAGAAGGAGTAGTTGTCTTGTTGTTTGAGTTTGCTCCAAGCTACTTCCCAATGACTGCCAAAGTCTCTTCCCTAAAGGTCAGTGCCAGAGTGTGGCTGAGTAGTTGTCTGTCATTGACTCTGGAACCTGTTCTATGCAGGATTTTCCATTTTGGCGGCATGCCAGAGTCACCGAGAAAGTGGGTCTGTTGTTTTGTTTGTTTGTTTTCCTTTTTACTACTGGTGCCTGACCTCTAACTAATGTGATAAAAGTCACGGAGAGCCAGACCTGGACATCTGGGTATGTTAAACCCCTCAGGGCGCTGTACTGTGTAGCCAGCTTTAACTGGAACGTTCCCCCTTAGGAAAGCTCTGGAGGAAGGAGGGTAGGAGAGGAGGCAGTTGATGAAGAATCCTGGCATGGAATTTTGCAACTCGAAGTGTGGTCCTAACAAGGCCCAAGGGAGCTGGTAAGGGCATAGATCCTCAGGCCTCACTCATACCCTCTGGAGTCAAAATGTGCTCATCAGAGGTTAAGTAGTCGTCTTTGGAGGCTGTCCATCTAATCTGGTGGTTTTCCACTGTGACTGTACATTAGAATCACCTGCTGTGTGTAAGCAAATTCCAGGGCTGGGCTAGACCAACGAGCCGGAATGTCTTCACGTGGAACCCAGACAAACACTCATTAAGAATTTTAAGTGGTTTTATTTTTATATTTATTTCTTTTGTTTGGGGGGGGGGGAGGGAGGGCACTTGTGTATGGAGGTTGGAGGACGACCAGAAGGAGTTGGTTCTCTCCTCCTATCCTGTGCATTGAACACAGGTAGTAGTTCATCAGGCTTGGCCACAAGCACCTTTACCTGCTGAGCGTCTTGCTGCCCCTACAACAGACTGTTCTCCTGTTCATCTGTCATCCAGAACCCCTTCCCTGAGCACTGCTTCTCAAACTTAAATGTAGGACCGTGTTTAGAAAATCTAGATCCTGATTCTGCAGGTCTGCAGGAGGCCCAAGACTCTGCCTGGCTAATAAGGGTCCCTTTGGTGCTTATGTTGCTGAGCTGACAAATGCCTTTTGAGCACCAGGGATTTAGCTATTGATTTACTTCCTATGTTGACAGCCGAAGAGGATGAGAGCCAGAGAAGGACATACGTTCCATGGTCACCTACCATGCCACTCATTTAATGCTTTTAGTTTTTAACTTTTGGTGGTCAGAGTTGGGGCTTATTAAAGATAGTTTAATATAATTTTAAGCATGAAGGCTTAGAGAGAGGTGCTTAGAAAGATAGACCCCCAGAGCATTGGTGTGAGTTTCTCAAAGAAGACTCATCCATTTAATGCTTTTAATGAAGTAATTAATTAGTTAATTTTTGAGACAGGGTCTCACTATGTAGTTCATGGGAGACAGCCATGCAGAAGAAGCTTGTGTGATGAGGAATGACTTGGAGATTGTTGTGGGTAGCAAGGGAAGGTGTGTTCACTTTGAGGAGAACTGTCAAGAATTATTAAGGGTAACTTTAACTAAAATTTAGGATAACAAATCTCACTTTTGGCTAAGTGAGTGTGGTGGCACCTATCTCTTTCACTCACTCACTCACTCACTCACTCACACACTCACTCACATACACTCACTCACACACTCACTCACACACTCAGACACACACTCACACTCACACACACACTCTCACTCACACACTCTCACTCACACACACACTCACTCACACATGAAAGAAAGGAAAGAAGGGGAGAGAAAGAGAACAAAATAAAACAAAAATTAGTCTTTTTCTTTCTTTTGAGGAGGAGCATCTTCAATCCCCTCAGTGTTTTGCAGATGCCTGCTAGTAACTCTACAGAGGAATGAGGAAGTGTCTGGCATGTCTGGGTTCTACCCTATACTCAGTTGTTGGGTTTTGTTTTGTGTTTTGGTGGTTTTTTTTGTTTGTTTGGTCATGGTTCTTGAACTCATAGTGGGATCTGGGGAATGTCTCCTTTTGGGGTCACAGCCTTGACTCCATAATAGGCGTGTATTCAGAATCATAGATTTATGATTGTGATACACGACACTTCCTCCAGATGCTGATCCTGCCTCCAAGAAGTAATCTAAGATGTTTTACTTGGCCTCAGGAGAGCACAAACTAGTGCTTCCTTCACAGTCTGCCATGAGTCATTTGCTCTGTAGGTGAAAATGCATGCCCCAGGACCCATCCAAACTGATCAAGCCCATGTCTGTGGAATGCATGTGCTCAGTGCATGGCTCTGTGATTTTTCTGTTCCTGACCGTTTGAGAAACAGAACAGGATGAAAGCAACATAGACTGGAAGAAGCTGGCACTTGGCATCTATACATCTACCTACGGCTGTTAAGCCACAAAGATTTCTTAGTAGTATGATCTTAGAGGAGTTGGTCTATAGAACAATTTACTGCTTCTGACCTCCCATATTACTTCGCTGGCTTCTGCCCACTGACAAGGGAAGTAACCCTTGACTCCTTGTAAATCCATACCCTTGGGGCTCCCTGACCCCTCCCCTACTGCACCAGCCTTCCTTCCTGAGTTTACCATGTATCTTAGGAGGTGAGGCCTGGGTACTGCCAGAGTCTAGAAGGGCTGGGAAGAGGGTTTCTTGAGGACCTTCACAGTTGCATCCTCATTCCCAGTATCTGTCCCAGTGCATCTGCCTGGCTGAAGTCTGCAGAGATTGCTCATGGGGCCAGAGGCAGCAGTGGCCCCAGATGGGATGAGCTTCAGCTGGACCAAGTGCCAATCAAAATCTGGCATAAGTTAACTTTTGTGTCAGAAATGGTGGATGTACCTACTTGTCCCCCAAACTGATTCTTCCTGAGTCAAAGTGCTGGAGAACCTCATTGGACACTGGTGTCAGTAAGTCTGGCATGGGAACCGAAAGAGGGCTGGGGCCTCAGTTCCACTTCCTGCAGCAGGGCCCCACCAAGATTCCTCACACTGCCCTCTGAGAGCTGAGGAGGAAGATCACCTGGGGCTGGCCGCCCCGTGGCGTGGCTTTGTGCTCCTAGAGGAGGAAAGGGTCAGGCACGGGGTGTGATCTGCTCTAGTGCCTAGGTAGGAGTACAGGTGGAAACTGACTGATACCTGGAACTCCTGCCTCCTAGGTGGCCCGAGGCAGCCGGGATGACACTTCTCCCCAGGAACCCTGCTATCTGCTGAGAAACATGACCAGCAAATCCCGTGAGTGTTGTCCAGGGGCTCCCCCAAGCTGGAGGGTCCAGCAGCCATCCTCAGCAGTGTCTTGGGATTCCCTTAGGGGTCGTAGACAGTCACACTGGGAGCCAGGGATCCTCTTTTCATCCTGAAATACCTGGGTCCCAGCTCCTGGGACAGGAGACGCCAGGGACTGCTGTGCTGGGGGTAGAGGGATGGGCGAAGGAGAAGGTGGCCTGGAGCTGTGCCTTCCTGTCTCTGCCTCCAGCTCCTCTGTGCATGTACCTTGCAGGCTGGAAGTTCCTGGCCATGCTGGCTCTGGTCCTTGTCGCTGTCATGGTGTGGTATTCCATCTCCCGAGAAGATAGGTACGTTGAACTGTGAGTACGCTTTCTGTGTCTTTCCGTTGTTTCTTGTCAGAGATGGGCTGATACAAGGGCAGGGTACCTAGCAAGGCAGGAAGCTTTTGAGACCCTCGACCTGACCTCTCCTCTTTAGCGGCTAGCCCAGAGTTCTTTCATGATTGTGGGTGGGAGGGGTGGGGGTGGGGATCCAGGTGGTTTTTGTGATCTCTCACAGAGGAAATACTGGGGCAGAAAGATCTGCACCCTCCATGGTTTGGGTTCAAAGTGGAACTTGGGTTGAGGAGATGCTAACTCTGTAATCCTTCTCCAGTACCACAGGAGCTCTGTGCCATCACTGGGGAGGTGGACCCTGCCTGGGATGCTGGCCTCAGGGCCTCAGTTGACTGGGCCTCCTGACTCTTCTCTTCCTCTCTCCAGCTTTTATTTTCCCATCACAGAGAAGAAAGAGCCGTGCTCCCAGGGTGAGGCAGAGAGGCAGGCCTCTAAGATTTTCGGCAAGTAAGCACCTGGTGATGGGACAAGGCATGGGGGAATGCGGGATTGAGGGTTTTTTGCCTCATTGCTAACTGGCTGGAGGGTAGCTGAACCTGGAACAACAAAGGCCTGACCTTGTTCAGCCAGACTAATCTCTTTCTCACCCCTACCCTGTGTAGCCATTCTAGGGAAAAGCCCATCTTCCTGCAGCTTAAGGATTATTTCTGGGTAAAGACACCATCGGCCTATGAGTTGCCCTTTGGGACCAAAGGGAGTGGTAAGTTATTGCTCAGCTCAGTGGACTAGCAGCTCACTACCTGTGAGCTGTTGTTCTGCGGGACCAAAGGAAGTGGTAAAATGAGTTATCCTACCCAAGCACGTGGGAAGTTCATATCCTGTTCATGTGAGCCACAACGTTGGACATTGCTGTCCACTGGCTCCAGGCCTGGGTTCTTTTGCCCAGACTCAGGTACCTATGTCAAGGAGAGAATTTCTGGGGAGTGGAGCGGGAGCAGCCCTTTAGAATGCTGATAACCATCGTCTCGGTTTCCTCTATTCATTCTTTCTGTAGAAGACCTTCTTCTCCGGGTGTTGGCCATCACTAGCTATTCTGTCCCTGAGAGCATACAGAGGTAAGGAGGTGTTCATCTCTTTGCAGTCTGGGCACCTTCACCTTTCCCTGCTCCTGTGTCAAATCATCTTGGTTAGTACCGTGCCAACCAGCCTTCGGTCGCTGGTTCACTGTGGCCAGTTTGACACTCCCTAGCCTGCCTGCCTCCAGGAGCTACAGTTATTCTAAAACCACAGCAAGCTGGGCGGTGGTGGTGCATGCCTTTGATCCCAGCACTCGGGAGGCAGAACCAGGTGGATCTCTATGGGTTTGAGGCCCAGTCTGTTCTACAGAGCGAGATCCAGGACAGGCTCCAAAACTACACAGAGAAACCCTGTCTCGAAAAACAAACAAACAAACAAACAAATTATGAAAACCACAGTAACCTAGCCTGAGCATCTAGATGCCAGAGTAGGCAGAAGTATTGCCATGGCAACAGACAGACCTGGGCAACAGGCAAGGGAGCTGTGTCCTAGGGTTTCTCTTCCCCTCCCTTCTCCTCTTCTCTCTATTCGTGCTTTTTTTTTCCCCCTTTATGTAGCCCAGGATGGATTTGAATTCTGCACTTTTCTTCTGACACTTCCTAAGTGCTGAGGTTACAGCTGTGTGCCAGCTTACCCAGCTCTTGTGCCGGGGTTGCCCGTGGTACTCTGTATGCTTCCCTTCCTCTTATTATCTCTTTGCCATGCTGGCTTGTTTGTACTTCCCTTTGATGCCCAAGACCTCAAGGTCGGTAAGACCATTAGCAGGGCCACTTAGCATGCCCGATCCATGCAGATCATCAGGGGCCGAGGAGAACCTAGAAGTGACCTGAGGTGGGCCCCAGGCAGATGCAGAGCAGAGGGAGTTCAGCAGAGCAGGGGCTCCTTCTGGGTTTGACCGCGCCTCTTCCCACGGCAGCCTCGAGTGTCGTCGCTGTGTTGTGGTGGGGAATGGGCACCGGTTGCGGAACAGTTCACTGGGAAGTGTCATCAACAAGTACGATGTGGTCATCAGGTGCGTGACCATCCCTCCTGCTTCTTTTTGGGCCCTGGGTGTCCCAAATGGGGCTGGCGAAAGGCCCGTTTCTACATCTTTAGTAATGGATATTCTTTCCCTGGCCCAGATTGAACAATGCTCCTGTGGCTGGTTATGAGGGAGACGTGGGCTCCAAGACCACCATACGTCTCTTCTACCCTGAGTCGGCCCACTTCGACCCCAAAATGGAAAACAACCCAGACACACTCTTGGTCCTGGTAGCTTTCAAGGCAATGGACTTCCACTGGATTGAGACCATCTTGAGTGATAAGAAGCGGGTAAATTGGGACCGAAGGGAGAGAGAGATGGTTATAGGGATGCTATCCTCGTCAGGGCTTCATGTCCCACAGAGTGCCTTGTGATGACTTGAAAGGGAAGGGACAGGGTGAACCAGGCTCTCCACAGCCAGAGCCTTGGGCCTCTCGCCAAGGGCATTGTTTTATAGGGCTGCTGATAAGCTGCCCTGCGTTATAGCTCAAGAGCCTGTAGGAGTTGGGGTGGCAGCCAGAGGCCCTCTGGGTGGAAGGTTGCCTGGAATAGGAGCACTGTAGGAGTGTGTGAGGAACCCTGGAACAGGGGAGCTGTCCCACAGTCACCTTGGAACAGGCAGTGTTTTTGTGCCGTTCTTGATGGTCCTCACAAAGAGCCTACTCCCTCACTTGGCCATGTGGTTAAAGGCTGAACTGTCTGATCTGGCAGTGTGTAGACAGTCTAAGGCTCACAAAGAGCCTACTCCCTCACTTGGCCATGTGGTTAAAGGCTGAACTGTCTGATCTGGCACTTTTTGCTCAGTGTGTAGACAGTCTAAGGCTCAAGCCCCTTCTTGTATGCATATCTCTGAAACAGGTAGTGGTCAGAACCCCGCACTCTCCACATTACCCTTCCTTCCTCATAAGGGGACCCTTCGACCTCCTTTGGTCTCTCATCTCTGGCACAAGTGTTACCTCAATTCTGCTGCGCGCCTGAGGTATCAACCTTGACTTGGACCCCATCCTCTGCCTGAAGACCACCAGCTGGGTTAGAGTTCAGAAACAGGTCTTTACCTGTTTTCATCTCTCCCTTCTGACCCTGGCCCCATAGGTGCGCAAAGGTTTCTGGAAGCAGCCTCCCCTCATCTGGGATGTCAACCCCAAACAGATTCGGATTCTCAACCCCTTCTTTATGGAGATTGCAGCAGACAAGCTCCTGGGCCTGCCCATACAGCAGCCTCGAAAGATCAAGCAGGTGATGAGAAGCGGTGACAGTGAGACCAAGCTGGGAGGAGATTGGGGTCCCAGGTGGAAAGTGAGGAGGAACTCTTGAGAGGGTGCAGCCTGCACTTGACCTTTGAAGACAGGCTTCGTAGTGTGCTGCCCTGATGGACAGTGTGTACTTTGGAGAACTGAATTGGGGCACTCTGAAAGTAGGAGTGAGCGAAAGGTCTAGATTGGACTTGGGCACTGGACTTTACGATGTTTTTGGCAGGTTCTGGTCAGAGCCTGTAAACTGGGAGCTGCCGGCATACTCACTGGCCCTATCTTTGAGAACAGCCTGAGTCAATGAGGAGTTACTGTTAGACGCTTATCTTGGAACATACTGATTTGATGTCTTGAGTGTCATGGGTATGGCGAACCAGTTTAGGGAGCTGTCACAATTTTGTGAGTCCCAGCTTTGATTTGAGCACTCTGTGTCCTGGTACTTCACAGCTGGCAGGATTTACCCCATAGTGTAGCTTTACAGACAGTTTTTCCATGTGTCTTAGACTTTCTCATGGGGGCATGTGAGACAGCAGAAGGAGGTCACCAGCAGGCATTGGCAGGACTCACGGTCCTTCCACTTACTACGGTTATCAGGCAGGTCTAGGACTGGGGGATTTCAATTGCTTATCTGCATGGTGGGGATAATATTTGTGCTGGCCTCTTAAGTCTATGGCAGGACTTAAGATAACGAAGTTGGAATACAGTGGCTGCTCTAACAGTATCTGTCCCTTGTTGTCTTCCTGTTAGTTTTCTAGAGACAAGCTGGCCTCAAACTCTTGGTAATCCTCCCAAGTGCTGGGGTTACAAGGATGAGCCACTATACCCAGCTAATATTAGCCAGATTTTAAATAAATATGCTTATTCTTGACTGTCTATGTCATGCGTGCGTTGGACGCCTGCAGCGTGACTGCCTAGTGGTGAGCCTGAGTCCATGTGTTTGGAGACTAAGCTGTGCCCTTGCTCTGAACAGATGCTGTGTAGCAGGATAAGCAGTTCTAGGTTTCCTGCTAGATGAAGTGTGCTCTACTTACTTAATACAGAGAATGCCACGAGGAGGGGCAGTGTGGTGACTGTAAGGAGCAGAGCTGCTGAGGAAGTGATGGCCACGTGATTCTGCAGGACCCCAAACTGGATGCGAGAGCACAGGGTGGTTAAAGTGGCAGGGGTGGCCAGGGGAGGTAGTAGATGCCTGTAATCCCAGCCCTTGAGAGTTAGAGGTAGGGTCTCAAAGTTAGCCTCGGCTGCAGAGTAAGTTCAAAGCCAGCCAGGGCTACATGAACTCCTGTCTTAAAAGGCAGCAAGGGTGAAAAAGAAGGCTTACCAAGAAGCAATAAGGGGACCAAGACAATTGAAAGAGATGCTGGGAGAAAATTGGCTTTAAGAGACCTTATGGAGTCCAGGAAGTGACTCTCGGGTGGGCAGGTGACATGTTCTATAAAGCTGGCCGTTGGAGGTTAGCAGGGCAAGTTTTCTGAAGTTTGAATATTAAGTTGACCATTGCTGTGGATAAATTGGGGGTGGAGGGGATAGGATCCTCACAGCAGCCCATAAGGTGGGAAGGCAGGCAAGGTACTGTTGATCCTGCCCTACAGAGGCATATATCATCCCATGAAAGATCCCACAGCCACGAGTGTCAACCTATCAGGTCCCAGGAGAAGGGCAGGTCCCCCTTCCCCTCTTTGAACAAGTTGTTTATTTTTGCAAGCTCCAGTTCCCTCATTTACAAAACGAGGCTAATAATAGTATCTGCACATATGTGTTTGGAAGGGGACTGAAGGAGATGGTGTATTACACAGACAGGATCATGGTGATTGTCACTTTTGTCATCCTGCTTGCCATGATCCTCCCTGGAGACCCAGATCTGTGGAGGTGAATTATCTAGTATGCTGCTGTGTCGGCCAGACTTTCATCCCTGATAGCAGCAACTGACAAATGGACAGATTGATTTTGCTCATGGTCTCAGAGGTTTCAGTCAGTCATGGCAGGGAGGACATGATGGAACTGAGCACTCACATGTGGCATGTGGGAAGCAGAGAGAAAATACCTACAGGTCCCTTACCTACCGGACAGTGGCCACCCACCTTTAGGGTGAGTATTCACTCTTTAGTGAACCCTTACTTCACAGACACCCTTAGAAGTGTACTATAGTAATTTTGTAGGTACGTCTCAATCTAACCAAGTTGACAAGATAACCACAGTAGCCACTAGACATATAACAATTTAAAACTTAGGAACTGAGGGGGTGGCTTAGCAGTTCACGACACTCACTGCTTCTGCAGAGCACCTGGGTTTCCTTATATGCACCCACTTTGGGCAATTCGCCACCACCTGTAACCCTAGTTCCAGGGGACCCAATGCCTTCTTCCAGCCCCTGGAGGCTTCTGCAAGCACATGGTGCCCATAATTCAAGCAGGCGCATACATGTAAAAATAATAAATAGTTAAATCTCTAAATTTAAAACTTAATAATCAGGGGTACAGAACTGCGGTCGAACACTTGCCTAGAATACAGGAGGCCCAGGTTCTAGCTCCTGCACAGCAAAAAAGTTTAGAACTTCATAGAGTAGCAAATCACTTCCTCGGCTGCATTAGCTGCATTCAGGTGCCTGGTTGGTTGGCCATTGCCCCTTTGGACAGCTAAGGTAAAGGATATTTCCATAGCAGAGCACTGAGCCTGAGCGTGTGTGAGGTGGGTGGTGGTGGAGGAGGGGATTGGGACTCCTTCAAATGCCCTCCTACTCTGCCCCTCAGAAGCCAACCACAGGTCTGCTAGCCATCACCTTGGCCCTACACCTCTGCGACTTAGTGCACATCGCTGGCTTCGGCTACCCGGATGCCTACAACAAGAAGCAGACCATCCACTACTACGAACAGATCACACTGAAGTCTATGGCGGTAAGCAGCCCTGCTTGGGAGCCCAGTGAGTCACAACGAGAGGGCTGCTGGGTGAGGGGGAGGTGCGGGGACAGAAAGTGGTTTGGGATATGTTCATTCAGTGTCAGAAGTGGGACCTGGGCATCTGGACACCCCAGCTGGCATCCTCTGCATTTGCCACATGACTTCTGTCTCCTTTCTGAGAGCCCACATAAGGAAGAAAACTCCCAAGAAGTGTGGGACCAGAAAGGGGGGAGGGAGACCTTTCTGAAGACAGAGAGCTACCTGGGGGCCCCTCACTTACTTCCTTGGCTATTTCCACAGGGGTCAGGGCACAATGTCTCCCAAGAGGCTGTAGCCATCAAGCGGATGCTAGAGATGGGAGCTGTCAAGAACCTCACGTACTTCTGACTTGGATGAAAGCTGTAACACGCCAGTTCCCTACTTTGCCATCTGAGTGGCCCCTGTCTCCGGCTTCAGGATGCCTGGTGCCACTACAACTCACTTGAACTCACCCTCAGTGCGGAGGGTGTCCTGGGACTGGCCAGGTCTCAGGAGAGGCTGTATCTCTGGCTCCTCTGGTGGAGCCCAGATCCAGACAGGGTGAACACACTGAGGCTACAGGAGCCTGGCCAAGAGAGGGGGGACTTGCTGCTGTGGCATCCCCTCTCTGCCAGCACAAAGGGGTTTTGATTGTTCTGAGGGCTCCTTTTTTTATTTTGTTTTTTGTTTGTTTGTTTGTTTGTTTGGGGTTTTGTTGTTGTTGCTTGTTTGTTTGTTTGTTCTTTTGTTTTGCTCTGTTTTTGAGACAGGGTCTGACTGTGTAGCCCTGGCTTATCTGGAACTCACTATGTAGACCAGGCTGGCCTTGAACTCACAGAGATCCACCTGCCTCTGCCTCCCAAGTGTTGGGATTAAAGGCGTGTACGAACACGCCTGGCCCCAGCAACAAGAGATTATTTAACATGCTATTTAATTAAGGAGAAGAAAAATGCAATGGGCTGGTCCTGTGGCATTCACAAAAGGGACACAATACAGTGTTCTGCCCACTTTTTAATAAAATTTACAGAAAATTGGCCTGTTAAGGCCCTGACCTAGAGCTGGCCTCCCGGGAGGATGGAGGCAGTGAGTGGGAGGGTGTCCTCCAGAGAGGGGTTGCTACCTCCCAGCGGGCATGGGAAGGGCATTGACAAGGGGGCTCCATCTAGAAGGGGCCTCACCTGAAAAAGAGATTACAAAAGACCAATAAAATATTTTTTTTTTCCTAAAATGGAAGCACTTGTGAGGCTCTGTGTCTTTTCGGGTTGGGGAGAATATGGCTGGGAGTGTGATAGTGTACAGACCTGAGGTTATAGCAGCACAAAGTCATTTCAGCAAAGAATTTGTACTGAGATGGTGCTCAGGTGAGCATTTCCACCCTGGCAGAGGGTATGAGCAAGCAGTGCCCAGATCAGCCCTATCTTCAGACACCCAGCCTGGTGTCTTGCATCCCCAGGGACTAAGGAAGGGAGGAGAGGTACAGGGTGCCAGATGGAGGTGGCAGCATCTCCTCCTCTGTCTTCTCTGGGAATCCCGTGTTTTCAGGACAGGGTGGGGTTAGACAGAGAAAGCTATTTTTCTTCTCAAATTAAGTGGGAATCATAAAACAGAGCTGGCGGAAGGTCCTGTGAGTGCAGCGGTGTGGTTTGCCAAGGCTGGAGTGGGCAGGGCTAGAGGGACTTGGCAAGTCCTGTGAGCTAGTCACTGGACCAGGGAATGAGGCTGTTTCTGTCCCAGGTCCCTTGGATCTTCAGTCCTGCCATTTGCTTGGCTCTCTGGCCTTTATTCTCCACCTTCCAGGCCCTGCTCTGCTGCCAGCTGGGCCTACTGCCACCCCCACAGCTGTTCCTTTACATCTGGAGCCAGGAGGGAGTGTTGGAACTCACAGCTGTGTTCCGCCGGGCTTGCTCAGAAAGAGCTGCAGTCTTGAGGTTTTTGAGACAAGCCAAGCCGGGATGCGATGGATACAGAAAGGCTTGGGAGGGAATGAACAGGATGACACCACCTTGGAACAGTACGGAGAACAGCCAGCCCCATCCAACAGGGCACTCCTGAGGATCAGCTCAAGTAGAGCTGTGTGGTCTGAGGGGATTCTGAAAAGCAGTTGGACCATAGTGTCTGAAGCCTCATTTCTCTCTCACTGGGACAAGCTATCTTACAGGCTTCATCCTGGGAAGACTTTGTAGGGGTGTGTGAGTGCCTCTAGGCATCTATGCTTTGCTTATCCCAAAAAGGGAGTATCCATTTCTCCATCCAAGGCCTTTGAAAATGACTGTCTGCACATATGATCCAGCTGCCCTGGACTGAGGCCACTGCCTGATACTGAACGTGCCTCAACTTGAGCCAGAAGCCAACACACTGGGTCATGCTGCCCCTCCTAACTCCACAAGTTCATGTACATGGGGGAGTTGATAATCTTAGGGTGACATCCAGACCCTCACGATTGCATACACAGCAAAGTGTGTGTCTGGGCATCCACCCAGACCATTCTTTGCTGGGGGTGGGAATGGGCCTAGCTCTCTCCAAACTGTGCAAGCTGAGGCAATACCCGGCAAGGGTCAGGCCTGGGAGGGGAGCTTTGATGTGGAGTTGTTGGATGGAGTTCCTTGGTGTTCTGGGAAAGAAGTTTTCAGCCCAACTTATGTGAAGGGGTTGTCTGCCAGCTTGCCTGGTACTGATTAAACCATGCCCTGAAAAGGCAGCAGGGGGAGAGAGAATGGGGGCACAACTGGGTTTACATCAGGTTGGGCGGGGTAATTCCTGCCAATGCGCTCCGGGCTTCAATCCCAATTCTGGCCTTAAAACCAAAGGACGCGTCCACGTATTTCAGTTACCTGGGGTGACTGAAAAACGGAGATTCCTGGGTCTCGGGGGGTCTGGGGTTCGGAATCAAAATCTTACAAGCAAGTCTGGACTCTAGGAAGATCTCATGGGCCTCTTCTTAACCCTCCGGTCTGGTTTGCAATTAAAACCCATCCTAATCTCCGGTGCCCTTGAGCGGTGTTAAATTAGGCGCACGCGCAGGTTACGCCCCAGGCGGGGTGGGGGTGGGGGCCCGACGGCGCTGAGTCTGTCTAACCCTTCTCGGTGGCTGGGCGGGGCCATCGGGCTGAGTGGGCGGGGCCATCGGGCTGAGTTTCCCCGCCCGCCGCCCTCCAGACCGTTTGCGGGCCACCGCCCAAGTTCGCTGCATCCGGCTGAGCCCTGGGTCCCCCTGTTCTCTCGGGGAGTGGGGAGTCGGGGTATCATCGCTGCTCGGAGCTTTGCCGCGCCCCACGAGGCCCAAGAGAACAGACCGACTGCCGGGGAGCCAAACATGTCTTCACCACTGTGTTAGATTCTACAAACCAAGACCTCCTCCTGGGGTGGGGATAGTGGGGGGAGACTGAGGCCCTACAAACGAAGGGAGGGTCTCCCAGCTTGAGACCACCGTCCTGGGCGACACAGAGTATAGGTCTTTCAGTTAACACCCTTAAATGATGTCTTAAATACTTCAGGGTGTTGGGTTTTTTTTTAATTTTTTTTTTTTTTAAATGGTCTTATTTTAAATGTTTCTGTGAATGGTATGCACATGGGAGGTCAGAAGCGTTGTATCCTCCTGGAGCTGAAGTTACAGGTGGTTGTGAGCTGCCCATCATGGATCCTTGGGAACCGAAATCTGGTCCTCTGGCCCTGCAAGCTCTTAACCGCTGAGCCATCTTTTCAAGTCCCTCCACTTGAGGTTTTGATTAACACTTTCAGAGGACATAAGTATATATCCAATTGCTTTCCTCCTGAGACTGTCTAGTCTGCAAAGAGTTTGAACTTGGAAACAATACTGTCTGCGAGACAGTTAAGTGTAGTGTGCGCACAAAAAGTGGCCCCTCCCTGCCGGATCATTTAATTAGTTAGCTGAAGAAACCTCTGTTTCTCCATCTGGAAAATACCGATTACCCATGCCTGTCTCACAATGAAATCCTAAGGATCTAATGGGAGCACGATTGTAAAGACATTGCGGGGACTGTAAAGCGAGTTATAAATAACGGGATTGTAAAGCAGCCTTCCATAATGGAAAACGCTGGAGAGTGTATGGAACCAGTGAGCTAGATTTGTAGGACCAAATACTTGCCCCCGAACTGAGTTAACCCACTTGGTAGGAAAAGCCTGTCTTGAATCATACCCACATGCTTAAGAGACTGCGTGTTTGTGTGTGTGTGTGTGTGTGTGTGTGTGTGTGTGTGTGTGTGTGTGTGTGTGTAAGGAAGGTTTTGGATAATCAGTGGACTGAGTTCAAACCCACTTTCCAGCAGTGGTTTTTAAGTTAAGAATCCCTGCCGCCTCTAGGGATTCTTGGAGAAAAGTTCGGAGGGTGAAGCCACTCGTTTTTAGTGGTATGTGGAATGTAACAGCAGCTTCCTAAACATGGTTGAGAAGCACAGCTTCATAGTTGACGCACGCTCCTCTAAACCTTCTGATTTTCTTTTTGTAATCTTAATTATAGCTACAGAAAATGATTTGGTAGTTCAAAATCACCTTGGTTCTGTACAGGCTGTGGTTTTAGGAAATTAGATCTGAACTGAAAAGTTGGAGGTGTGTGCAGATGACCCTCAACTAATGAGGATTCCACTGTGAAATCAGGACGCATTCAGTGGAATTTTGATCTTCCTAGCTAATGATGTGTGTGTGTAACAACATTCCCTAGGTGCTGGGCAGGGACAGTGACCCACAGCACATAGAGCCGTTCATGTGGTCATGGGGGGAACCCGTGGTGCTCTACTCTGGGCTGTGTTGTAGCTAGATGTATTATTGCTTTTTTCTTTTCTTGAGGCAGGGCCTTGCTGTATATCCTGGGCTAGCTTTGGTACTCACTCTGTAACCCAGGCTGACCTTGAGCTCATGGCAATCCTCCTGCCTCTTCAGTGCTAGTATTACAAATTGTGTCACCACACCTAGCTTAAATGTATAAATTTAAATTTTTACTTATACTATTTATCACCAACAAAGAAGTGTATCAGGATATAACCCCATTATAAATCAGTGTGTGTGCACTCCATCTACTTTTTTCCCTGTCCCATTCTTTGTCAAAACAAAACAAACAAACAAACAACAACAACAAAAACAAAAACCTTGCTCAGTGTCAGATCCAAAGAAAGTAGGGACAGCTGGTCGGTGGTGGTGCACACCTTTAATCCCAGCACTAGGGAGGCAGAGGCAATCATGGATCTCAGTGAGTTTGAGGCTAGCCTGGTCTACAATGCAAGTTTCAGGACAGCCAGGACTGTTACAAAGAGAAACCCTGTCTCAAAAAACCAGAAAGGAAGAAAAAGAAAGAAAGAAAGAAAGAAAGAAAGAAAGAAAGGAAGGAAGGAAGGAAGGAAGGAAGGAAGGAAGGAAGGAAAAAAGAAAGGAAACAGGGACCAATGGCTGTCTCTGGTGCCCATTAGCACACCAAAGTGCATCGGGTCTCCAGGCTCCCTCAGCATCACAACTACCTTTGGCCCTTGTCTGCTCTTCTCACCCAGCCCTCTACCCTAAACTTCTCCAGGTCACGAGCTTCCCTTTCCCCAGCTTCTCATTCCCATAGAATCCTGCCATTTTGACCATGCACCCTCTTGGTTCTCTCTCTTCAATCTTCCTCTCTTGCCCCCCACTCTTTCGGTCCCCCCACTCTTTCGGTCCTCCACTCTTTCGGTCCCCCCCACTCTTTCGGTCCTCCACTCTTTCGGTCCCCCCCACTCTTTCGGTCCTCCACTCTTTCGGTCCCCCCACTCTTTCGGTCCTCCACTCTTTGCTCTCTCTTATTTTTGTCTCCTCTCTTTCTCTCTGGATCTTCCCTGCCACGACCCCCCCCCCCCCCCATGACCCCATCCATTCTGCTGGCCTTGTTTAGTCTACTACTTTCTCTCCCTGTTCTCTGGCTGTGCTGTGCTTCATATCTACAATAAAAACCTTCCCCTCAATCATACCTTGGAGCAGCCATGTCCTCGATCTTTCGATTTCTGTGCCCAAGAAATAAGCTGACCAGATATGATGGTGTGCGCACGTTTAATTCCAGCACTCTGGAGGCAGAGGCATATGGATCTCTGAGTTCAGGGCCAACATGGTCTACAGAGAAGTTCCAGGACAGTTAGGGCAACAAAGAGATACCCTGTCTGAAAAAACAAAACAATAAATATGGTAGAGGGGTGGGGGAGGGGTATGCAATTCAGTTGGAAGGTGTTTGCCTAGCACACACAAAGCTCTGAGTTAGATTCTCA